AATGTATGGATAATTAAATTATAATCTTTAAACCTACTGTTGATATATAGGTACAATATGTAACATGTGTATTATGTGAGTATAATTGTATGTATATACATATGTATACAGATATATGTGTGTATTTATAAACATATAATATATGTATACATATGATGTGTGTTTATATGCATATGTGCTGCATGTGCATATGGGCCTATATAACGTGATTGTTTATAAGACATACTCGTTTTATGCATGTTTGCTTTAATACAGTGTCGCCTAACTTTCAACCTAATATTTGGGAGCTACTGTGCTATTGTATGGAATTTTTCAAGTAGAAACCAATGATGAAGCGTAGAGTATCGTAATCATACCTATCAAGAATGATGGTGGATATTCAACGCATTATCAAGACAGACGTGTTTAAGCGGGAACAGTGATTAAATAGAGACGTAGTATTCGTCATTACTATTTACTCCAATAATGTTATAATATATTAATTAAACAGGTAGTTATTTGCCATACACGAAGATAATCTTTAAGATTTGGATAGCCAATATTTCATTATAAATTAATTATTGCTAAGTAATGTTATGATTAGAATTAAAAGCATTGGTTGCGAATTTGATATTTAATATTTAATGTTTTCTATGTTTGTATTTGTATTGTGTTGTTGTTTAAAAAGACCTATTATTTTAGAAATAAAGATTTACTTATTTGTTAAATTTAAAAGTTTGTAATTCTTTTTGTTGTGTACATTGTTGGACAGACATTAGACCTTCGATCCAAATTGATCGTCTATGACATTCATATTATATATGAATTTTCGTAGGTGACAGTGATAATGATGATTATAATATATATGAATAATAGAATATATATAACAAAATCAACAAAATTATCAACAACATTAATTTAAGGTAAATTAATTTAACATTCTGCAGTTGGCAGATATACAGTACTAGTACACCAATTGGATACAAATTTAAATAAAAATGTATATAGGATTTGACATTAATACAAAATATAAAATAAAATACGGTATCCATTACTAATTAGTAATGAGTTGGACATAAAAATAACATCTGGCTTTTATGTCCATCTTAATACACATTTTGACTTTGCATAATGACTAAATTTTAAGTAGACCTATTTGATGCTCCTGTGTTTAACAAGCTTTTATGAAGTGTTTTATGTATTTTTGCACTGGCTTCTACTATGAAATCCCAACTCTAAACCCGAATCCGGGAAAGATGGAAGTAGTAAAACAGTGTTTGGCGTAATTATTGGCACCCTGACAAAGTGGCCGGAAAATGCGAATGAGACATGACTATAGTTACAGTTATACAGGTATGCCCCAAAACAGGCACACCCTATGTGGTTGGCGGCCGAACCCGCCTTAAACAACACACATATCCCCTGATATAAAACAACTCCCAATATCCAAACTATGGGTGGGAGGGTAGGAATCGAAACACCCGAGACTGCCTGTCGAGATGGCGGTCTTCTGCGTTAGCTGTGTGTTCAGGATATACTCGCGTGCTAAGCCGCACATGCATAACGGTTGCGCGTAAAACACGCACCAGAGGCAAAATCCAGACATAACAAACAAGTAATTAAGGCGAGCGCTCGGTGCAAAAATAGTGTTTGCTAGCAAACCCGATATTTTCTTAAAATGCGAATAAAACACTAACTAAACTGACAAATATATATTGATAATTGATTCTATATAACCAAAATCTAAAACAAAAAAAAAATGAGTTTATGAATTTAGATTTTTTCTGTGTGAATATCTAATATCGTATTGAATTGCAAAATCGTATGCGACAGTAGTCCAAGATTCAAGGAAAGTATACAATAACCCTTTATTCACAGGTGTATTGTTGATCCGTCTAACTGCACGGTGTATTGTACCTGGTCTCATCGACAATACAAAAACAAGAATTTAGGAATTTATAGTTGTTTTGTTTGGTAAATATCTAAACTGAATTGCACATTTGATGCGACCTATTATTAGATTCAAGGCAAATTATCCCAACGTGGGACTAACTACAGACACTCCTGAATTCAGTGTTCAAAATATTTGTAAAAAATGTGTCGTTAGTTATTTTTAAAGATTGGAGTGGCGCTATGAGGTTTCCAAGTACAGTAATATAAAGACAGGATTTTATCCCACGTTCCAAACCAAATCCGATTCCATAGTAGTTGTTTATTTTTTATAATTATTATTATTATTATTATATATTATTATTATTATTATTATTATTATGTTTTTGTTGTTATGTTAAAGGAGTTGCCAATTACGATAGCTCTTCATCATTAGCAATTACTGGCTTTATGTAAACAAATTATACAAAAATATGCTATACTCTTTGTGTTGGCACAGTACAGTAACTGTCTCTTATACACATCTTGTACACTGACTGTTATTATTAGGTTATTATTATAGACGTCTCTCAGAGCAGACATGATTCAGGTTACAGGGAAAGATTTAGAGGATAACATTTTCTGTGACAGATCTGCTATTTGCCTATAATGGACATGATGTCATATTTCTTAAGTGTGGTGATAGTAATAGTAGTGGCAATGAAGACGAGATGATGACATTTGATAATGATAATGAGGACGGTGATTGTCACATTAGAACTTATATTTTTCCCTACCATATGCGTGTTGCCCTAATATTTAAATAATATGCTAATCCACTTAGTAAATAACAAGTTGTTAGTCATTGACAAAAAGGTGATTGTATTGTTACTAAATTTGCATAAAGCGTAAATCCGTTGCCAGCCGGTCATATAAAATGACTAGCGCGAGA